TAGCTCGTAACTTTTTAATAACATTTTATTTTACTATTCTGTTTCCGTACAGACAAATTTAATAATGAGACAAAACGATATCATGTTTAATTTTGGATGTACAGTGTCAAACAGCGGAGTAAAACCCCTCCGAAATTTCTATGGAAATAATGTCGACTAGTGTCACCTTAAGATGAACATGGACAAAACAAAGATCAAGTATAACGACCATCTCACACCTATGATTTCAATACGTGGTAGAGCCATGCTGTAGCTATATTAATGATATAGTTGTAGCACGAATGGGTCGGCTTGACCGGGGAAGGACCACGCTCTCACAGAATACCAGCGTAAAGTAGCAGCTTAACGCTGCTGTGTTTCGTATGGTGAATGTTCTCTACATTCACCGGAGACCCTTTTTACTGGAAACGAGGCATTCCATCTGGAATTGCTAATTTACGCTGGTATTCTGTGAGAGCGTGGTCCTACCCCTGTGGAGCCGATACATTCGTGTTATAGCCATATATATTATATAGCTGCAGCGTGGCTCTACCAGGTATAATAAATGTCTATTTTTCTTTGTTATTCTGAGATTACATTACGGTTATGTGATATTAATAATGACAGTTGCTTGAAACGGAGCCTATGATCAAATATATTTCTAGAAACCAAATCTACTGCTAAAATGAACGGTTTGTTGATACTATACCATTCATACATTCCCACGAAAACTGGAAATATTCGCAGTCTACTAAATTAACGATTTTTTCGATACTAAATATTCTTAAAATATTGATGGCTTGGTAATTAATTTAATCTATGGCTCTACCATGAAAAGTTTTATGTATTTTAATTTTAATTTGAACGAGCTCGATTCACGCTGCAGCTATAATATTACGGTTGCAGCTAGGGTCGGCTCGACCGAAGGCCACGTTCTCACAGAATACGTAACACAGCGTAAAATAGCAGTTTAATGCTAATGTGTTTCGTATGGTGAGTTTAGAGAACCTGAAATCCCTTTCACAATTAATAAGACATTCGCTATCTAGTTATCAGATGTGACAACGCATCTACGTTTGGATTCTTAACCGATGATAAATGACCACAGAACGACTTTGTCCCGCTTGTAAACCTTTAAAAAAAAACTCATGGCGGTTACATCTAAATATCGATAAACAGGTCATGAGTCCAATGTGGTCGTATATAATAATGCTACTTGTATACACCTACAATATTCGGTAAAGTATTTGATACAGATAAAAATACAATTCAAAAACTTCCTTTATTTTTTCCGTGACAGAAAGCTTTGAATTATGCATAACAGAGCTTATTTTGTGGACGGTTATAGACTGTACGATGTTGAAGTTGCGTGTTTTATTTTAGATTTCATGCAAATGGAACATTATGTGATATTTTAGGCAACTATTATTATGACATGAACAAAATTTGTAAAAGAAATAAAATAAATTAGTAAATTAGCTAGTTTCAATATAATAGATTACCTTGGGAGACATAAAAGCCATACATATCGAGCATGAGGGAGAAGACTTGGCGATAAAGTGTATCTGGGGCAATCTTCTGGGATTCGCCTGGTGGGGTTACCTAGATATTGCTGGATAGACCAGGTCGCGAGGAATCTAGGGTAGCTGGGTGTGCCCAACTGGACCGAGGTGGAACAGAGGTGGCAAAATTAGCGTGCTGTGTGGTCGGAGGAGTATTTCAAATTTTATTACTATCAGCTATGCGGCGCGTGTCGTACTATGACTGAAGCACAAATGGGTCCGGACAACCGAGGAAAGACAATGCTCGCACTAAATAACTTTGTCAATTATAAATATAGAAGCATAAAGCGTCTCCCACATACAAGCGGCTTGCGGTGGCGGCTAACCGCGAGCCGCGGCTCCGGGCGCTTCAACAACACAACACCGCGGTCGCAGTGGCGGCCTGAAGCGCCATTCGTTATGGTGTCTGTGCTACGATTGAACGTTAGTAAACATGACTAACAGTGACAGTCTTATTATATTGAGCAATATTTTGTTTTTAATCCTAATGCTTTAGTAATCACGATGCGAATTATCATAAAGTACTTGCTAATTTTGCTCTGTTGCTATTACAATCTCTGAATTTAGCGCCATTTTTCGCGCGGTACACGCGACCTGTTGTAAAAATTTGCAAGTGACCACGCTGCAGCCATCGACTGGCGTACTCGTTAATAACACACATGCGTTGGCGGAAGGGGCGGAGCATACGGTCGCGGCCAGCCGCTTGCAGATCGCGACATGGCCGCAAGGGTTTGTAGACTCACTTACATTTCAAGCGAATACAACTGGCCGCCACCGCAAGCCGCTTCTGCGTGGGAGACGCTTAATTCTGCTGTGCTTTGTATAGTGAGTGATAACCGGAGACCCTTTGTACGGGTAACACGAGGCGTTTTATCAGGAGTGACAACGCGTCTGCATTTTGTTTCTTAATCGAGGATAGATAGTAGGGTGTCTATGGGCTACAACATCCGTTTATCGCTAGGGTACGCTAGTTCGTCTCCCTTTCTCCTATCAAACCGATTGCGGTACTTATAAAGGACACAAAAATAAGGTACTCATATAATTTTAATATCACCGGTCAGTAGCTATCTTTCTGCCATAATTTAGCCACCACAGTTTGTCCCGAAGGTGTCTCTGTAAAACCGAAACACAGCTTGCGCCCTCTTTTCCCAAAAGAAAATTCGGCAAAAAGGCCTAATAAGCCAATGCCAGTCCCACGGGTGGTGTTTAGTGGGTACACTTAAGGTTTAGGTAGTTAGTCACAGTGACTCCCACACAACCACGACAGCCGGCTGTCGTGGTATGCATAAAGCATTCACCACCACCTCGCGTTAACGGGGTAGCCCTTTACATTTGCTTCTGAGCGCAAAAAAAGCGAAACACGATTACAATCGAATATGTGTATATTTCTAAAGGTAGAAGGTGGTGATGGGTTTATAAGTGGCAGTGATAATACACACGATTGGGGGAAAGAGAGACGTGCTATATTTCAAACTAAGTAATTCACACTTTTGATTTTTTTCTACGAAAATATCGTACGCCGTGTAGAGCCGGTGTAAGAATATCCACCATCACATATCGTCGCGTGGTTGTCGTGAGGCGACAGAGGGATATAAACTAGAAAATGATTCCCATTCCACCCTCAGGGGTGTAAGAATAGGAGAAGAAATTTTTAATTCCACTGTTAAGACAACTTTCAAATTGTTTCCTTGAGCTTGTGATTAATTCACTCAAAATGGTCAAAAAATTAACTTTTAAGTAAAACGTAAAAGCCCACTTCAAACAACTAAAAACAACAAAATAAATAGCTCCTGTAGTCAGAAGCTGTTGTGGTTTTTTTTTTATTTTAGTACATAAAGTCAGCTTCTACTTTTTACTAATTTTTTTTTAAATTAAGTTATACTCTAAGGATGACGTAACAGCTGTAATAATGAAAATGCTTATGAATGTAGGACAACTGGTTAAAATTAAACATAGGTACATATTAAAGTGAAACAACTTTTACTGCTTATTACAAGTTTCTGTGTGTGGGTGGATATCTTGTTCAGACAATTTACAATCCATAATAAGCGGGTGATTAATAGTCTTTTTGCCGTGTAGTGACGACGGTAGAGGTTACATTATTCTATTCTCTCACGTGGGTGTCACAGAAACACAGAATGGTCAGAAAGACGTGACCTCCGATAGATGGCGCTATATCAGGTGTAAGATTCCTAGATGCGGACAGGGTGAAATCTTCCCGCTAAGCGCAGCAAACCTGATTTTCTGTTCCTATAGAAGACCACTTCCAGTAGCAATAGACTTCGGTAAAACATATCGATATTTTCTCACAAAATCATCGATATATTGATATTCGATATTTACGTTAGTATCAAATCCATATCAATTTCGATATATTGTGAAATATTTTTTTTACAATTTAATAGACAAAACAAAAGCATTCATTTGCTGTTGTTTTGTTTCGTCGTCAAAACGTCCAGTTTTGGTTCTCATCCTACTAATTCATGCAAAACATGACGTTATATCGATATCTATCACGAGATAATTATCGATATTTTATTTCATTGGGCATCCCTAAGCAGCAGTGGGGAAGCAGTTCCTTGCCCTAAAACCATATTATATATGTCCATATTCCTGTTTCCTGTATAGGACAGTTACTATACTCTTTGCCTAAAACATAACATAACATAACATAACATAATTTATAGTAGAGTAAAAATAATAATAATATACTGCTAATCTTGTGTATAAAAAGTAACATGTGTGTATTCGTGTTTATTTGTTTGGTACCGTTGAGCAGTGTGTGCTGTTACTGATTTTATTAGTGTGCATGTCGTACATATGTTTATGAATTTGTGTATGAGACTTGTCAAATGTGCATTATATAATATATTGCCTAAGGGAACAGATGCAAACATTTAATGTTATAAGTGTAAAATTGAATGTATACCAACTGATACTAATCATTACGACCGTAGTATGTTATGCCTTAGTAATTAAAGGAAACCTGTTATTGGCCTTTATTATAAGAATAATATTGTTTAATGTTAACTAATTAGAACGCTGTTGGTTTCGAAATAAATTAAAAAAAAATTAAAAAAAAAAAACCCTCTCAGAAATGAGAGGAGGCCCAGCAGTGGGACGGATATAGGCTGTTTGTTCGCATCCGTTTAGGGCGCTTTTAGTGTCACGCGGATTTGCTCACGCACGCGGGATTGGACCGCATGCGTAAAATTTCACGCTGCGGATCATACGCAGCATGAGTTTCAGTTTTCTACGGGCTGCGTAACGGTATAGACGTGTTCAAAAATGATCAATGTCAGAAGAATATGTGTCGCTTACATACTTTACAAACGACGAAACAAGAAGACAAGAGTACATGTTGATCCCTTTCTTGAAAATAGGCTTCTTGCTGGGGCGTTTGTTACACGCTTTGGAAAACTACAAAATAATGAACGTAAATTTAAAAATTACTTTCGAATGTCCATTCGTTCTTTTGATGAACTGTTGTGTAAAATTGAGAATAAGCTACAAAAAAGCAGTTTACGAAGGATTACAATACAACCGATTGAGAGGCTCGCTATTACATTAAGGTAAGTTTTAAATTTTAAATATTTAATTTCCTGCTATGATTTAGTGGAAAGGGATTTGAACAGGTAGGATAAACGTTTTTTGACTTCAAATTACTGTCATGTGTAAATTTACATGTGCAAAAAAAAATTTTGTCATGTACTCTGAAATTTCATTGTTCATAATTTCATTCAATTTCATGTTGAAATTTCATTAAATAAGATTATTTCACTCATAAAATGTCGCCATTAAAGTGGAATCATTCCTACCTTTCATCACACGCTACTTATTATAATATAGATAAAAGTTATAGGTTTGCACATGACAGTAATTTAAAGTCAAAAAAAGTCCTTAATTGGTTTGGGATTGGTACGTTCAACCTACATACACAATCCTTTTTTTATCTGATAAAGTACACATGGCCACAGATCAAGTTACCCAAAACCAGCATAAATGGAACTCGCGCCTTGCGTATTATCATACTTAGGTAACCCGTCGGAGTCCCGCTTATACTGGATTTGAGTAACTTGATCTGTGCCGTGTGTACAACCGCACTCATATGACTAAACAAACAATTAGAGAGAAACTGGAGAAAAAAAGTTAATCGTACTCATTTTAATAAAAAGAGTTTTATTCATAAATTAAAAAATCAAATTTTACATCATTCATTTCTTTGTAAATTTGTATCCTGAGCGTTGACATTACTTTCGCCTGTAGATGATGTTGTTGCTGGGGTATAAATTACGTCATAAGACGTGATATTAAACAGGCCGCTTTCAGTCGAAATAAGAGTTTCATTGTCATTCACTGCAGCAGAACTAATAGCATTGTCGTTAAGACTCGAAGTATCCTGGATTATACTATTGGTTTGGTAATCTTGATTTATCGGTGACAAACTGTCAAGCTCAGTAAAAGCACTAGAACTTGTTGTAGGTATGGGACTGTAGTATGCAGGTTGTGTTTGACTTTCCATTTCCATAACTATATTTAACACTTTTGTTCTGAACATTAGTTTTTGATATCTAGTGAATCTTTTTAATGAAGGCTGCAGAGACTGAAAGAAAGCCAAATCCTCACTTTCTAGCTCCAGTTGATTAGACTTTAAGCATTCTAATAACTGTGCCTCAAATTCAGATGGTGCTTGCTTTTTAGATTTTATTTGTTTTTGTTTTGATGTTGGGTGAGAACTTTCTTGACGTGAAGTATCTGGTTGCGTGGACTCATTAGGTGTTTCTAAATTACTTTGTTCAGACATTTCTTCACAGAGTGACTCTTCTCCAGCAGTTTCCGTTGTACTGTCTAAGAAAGTCAAAATGTCATAGTAAGAATATTTCTTCTTCTTCTTCTTACTCCCAGAGCCGGATGGCTGATTTTTTTCAGATATCTTGTCTTTCTGGTAAGTGTCCCTTGCTGTTCGCCAGCGTTGTTGTATTTTCTTGTCTGAAATGACAAAATATAATAAGTAAGTGGCAAAAGTACACACAGTTTCAGATCAAGTTACCCAAAACCAGTACCAATAAACGGAACTTGCTAGGGCCTCGCCGGGCGCCGAGTCGTCTACGATAATAAACAACGCATGAGTCCTGTTTATACTGGTTTTGGGAAGCTTGATCTGTGGCCGTGTGTACAAATCTGATATTAGTTGGAAATTTAACTGCATTCGATTAAAGGCCCTCCTTAATTCACACATGTTGTCAACTTTACACTGTCTCATGAAGCATTAGATAAATCAAGCAATATATATATACCTATACAGAGTGGAAAAATAAGGCCGCAGTTGAAGGAAAAGTACCCTTAGGCGCAACGCAAACGGCGGGCCGGCGCAGGCCGGTCAATTTCGCCGCGAACGATAGCGCAAAGTGAATCTTATACTAGACGCAGACGGCGCGGCCGGGGCGGCGCGGCGCAGACATCGACGAAATAATTCATTTTTTACAAAAATAATTAGAACTTCATTTAAGGATTTTTGGAAAAACACCGGATTGAATCGGGCAATTTGTTTATTTGTTACAGTAAAATTTGCCATCATCAAAATTAAGGTGAAAACTTCCGGAAGTCACTAGCGCTGTAAGTTTTTAATTTGTTTTAACAAAAATTTGCTTTATTTGCATCTGTCAACCTTCATGAAGGAGGACATCTTGTAATGTAAATATTGCCTGAAATAAACGATATTTCATTATATTATATTATATATATTTATTAGATTCCTTTCATTTGCCGGAAATTTTACCATAGGGGTTAATTTATACAGAGAAGATTTCTTATAAAATATTTACAGCATAGTTATGTGTCTCAAATCTGCTAAAAGTGGCCACTTTTAGCAGATATGAGATACATAACTATACTTCGAACTTTTCATATGAAATCATAACTGCATAAATACCCCCCTATGATAAAATTTTCGGCAAATCATAGAAATCTAACGTAGCTATAGTACTGTAGTTAAAACGAATTAAAAACTTCTAGCGCTAGCTACTTCCGTGCCCTTTCACCTTAAGGGTATTTATTTTTCTTCTGAAGTAAAATTCGAGCGGTGCATGCTGTCTTATGTCTGATGTCAGCATTATTAATATATTATGTTATCATATTATTAATATATTGTTTTTGTTTTCAGATATTTGGCAACTGGTAATACATTCACTGATCTACACTATTCCTATGTGATTGGAATTGCAACAATTAGCGAAATAGTAAGACAAGTTTGTTACATAATATGGATTGAACTAAAGTCTGAATGTATTCCACAGCTTAATGGGATCAAATGGAAAGAAATCGCAGAGGGATTTCTCACATATACAAATTTTCCTAATTGCTTGGGTGCAATTGATGGAAAACATATAAGAGTGATTCGGCCGCCGCACAGTGGATCACTATATTTTAATTATAAGAAATATTATTCTGTAGTGCTCCTCGCAATGTGTGATGCTGATTATAATTTTACATATATTAATGTCGGTACCAGTGGAAGCAACGCCGATTCAACCATCTTTAGAAGGAGTCAATTGTATACGAAACTGGAAAGTAACACGTTGGGTATCCCTGACCCGCAAGAGTTGCCTATTATTTGCCCCGAAGTAGCTTATCCATCTAGTGTAAGAGCAAAGTTGCCGTTCGTGATAGTGGGAGACGAGGCATTTGGTTTATCATCACATGTGATGCGGCCTTATGCTCGTGATAATTTACCTTACAAAAAGAAAATATTTAATTACCGTCTGTCCAGAGCTAGAAGGTACATAGAATGCACTTTTGGAATTATGTCAAATAAATTTAGAATATTTCACAGATCCATGAATGTCAAGTTAGATCTAGCACAATTAATAGTCAAGACGGCATGTGTACTTCACAATTTCATAAGGAAACGGGATGGCTACAAGGTCAGCCATACATTTGTCACAAATGGTTTTACGGGACCACTACCCAGGCAGCAGACTGAAAGTAGTAATACGTCGGCAAGTAATATCAGAGATATATTTGCAGATTACTTTATCAATGAAGGAAAAGTCTCCTGGCAACACCTATATATAATTAATTAACTAAACTCAAAAGGTTTTAGAAGGTTTTTGATGTTATTTGTGAATTAAATAATTATGCTTATATTAATAAAGTAATGATGCTTGTATAAATAAAATAATGAACCAAACACATACCCGCCTCTTTTCTTTCCTCTTCGCTCAAATTTTCGTAGTTAGGTGCCAATTCCTTCAAAATATCTCTCCATGCAGCCTCCCTCGCGTCCCTGTGTTTGTATAATTCATTGCGTTTATCCCACAAAACGGGCCGCAGATGAACTTCAATGATTACTCGTTCTGTATCGATTTTCATTTCGGTAGTACAATACGGCGCGTGCGCCCCGCTCGACTCTAAAATGGGCACTGAAGTTGTAGGCAGCGCTTACGCATGCGGATACCCCGCACCGGGGTGACGCCCCGCACAGCGCCCCGCGTCCCGCGTGCGTTTATCACGCTTTACAATAGATACCTATATGAAATTGTTCTTTGCGGATGCTACGCATGCGGTCCAATCCCGCGTGCGTGAGCAAATCCGCGTGACACTAAAAGCGCCCTTATTGCTGGACACTATCTATTGCATCCATTATAGCCTATCAGTCAAGTGCTATACATAGACCTCCCCATAGGTTGCCTCACAAGGGCATGGTTACCACCATAGAGTACCTTTGGTTGCGACGCTTGATAGGCAGGTTGGCAATTGCAATTCTTCTTAATTTCCTAGTTAATAGGAAGACTGCTGCCTATCTCCTGATTTGTGTTTCATCTGTCGCATCTTAACACCCACGAGGCACAAATCTTTCTCCGATGGAAGAATTTTTACCACCAGGTTTAGCAAGTAAATAAAAAATGGTAAAAGTTAGAGCTTTCTTTTACCATTTTTCATTTACATCTTAGTACCTTTTTATCTTTTATATAATGTGATAGATTACTTTATCGTCTGGGAGTACGTACTGGATAGGTTTCACACTGCGTTTAGCAAAAAAGATCGTAGTATAGTATACGGCAACTAACTTGGCAAGGTTTTGGCGTAGTGGGGGAAAGTTTGCGCATTTCAACGGGACGTGGACACGTTGCAGGAGGCAAGGGTTGACGAGTCAACAAATCGCGCGCTCGGAACGGTGCCACCTCGTTCCCTGCATCCCACTTGATAACCGATGAAACTAAAAAACGACTTCTGCGCATCTAACGAATCTTGCCAAGTATACCAGATGTTTTGCCACCATGTGAAGCTGCTAACAAGTCATGTTCAATTTGAGATATACAGGTTGTATCACAATGATTTACTAGAAAAAGTAGTATAGCGTATGGAAAACTAATATAAGCTGAGGTATTTCAATCTTTACGTGGTAGAGCCATGCTGCAGCTATATTATGGTCGTAGCACGAATGGATCGGCTCGACCAGGGTGGGACCACGCTCTAACTGAACACCAGCTTAAAATAGCAGTTCCGGTAAATGGTGAAGAAAAATTAATTAATAAGGAATCTCAATTCTGTCCTTTTCATTTTTAAAGTTTACTGGTTTTACTGCGCACGCACACATTCGTAAGGGTCGATCGGTAGGCAAAACCGTTGTTGCCCATAAATCACATTCAATTTGGGATAGTTTCAAATAAAAGAAGAAGCCTTATTTACCCGTATTTTCAAAAACTGCACTAACAGTATATCATTATTTATATAGTTAAACTTAACTTCAAATTTGTCTATGGATGGTCTAGAAAACAGACGTGCTAAATGCAAAATATCGTGGTTTACAGTTTTTAATACCAAACATTCTAAATATATAAGTCTGCTCAGTGGTGATAACGCATTTGCATTTTGATTCTTAATCGAGGATAAATGTGGATATCTATGGGCCACAACATCCACTTACCATCAGGTGGACTGTGTACCTACTCGTTTGTAGCCCTTATTCTATAAATAAAAAATCTCTTAGTCTTCAAAGGTGATAACACATCTGTAACATTCTTTGTTAGAAGTTGGCTGCAGTTGTCCACGGATTGCAGTAGGCACTGACCATCTGGCGGACTGCATATTCGTTTGTCACCCCACTTTTATACAAAGGTAAATCCACAAATCAAATTGCAATTAATAATTTTAGGTAGCTTACACAATGAAATTAAATAAATAAAACAAGAAACATAGAAAATTAAAATTTATTAGGGCAGTTGTGCCTACGCGTCGGCGATGGTGACCTCAACTTCCACACCTGGTTCAATGTTGATCGACGTAATCTGCTTCACAATCTCGGAGGGCGAGTGCAGGTCAATTACACGCTTGTGAATCCTCATCTGGAAGCGGTCCCAGGTTTTTGAACCTTCACCACAAGGTGTCTTACGGGTGGTGATGCGTAGGATCTTGGTGGGCATGCGCACTGGACCCTAGAAGCAAACGAATAATGGTTTGTTTGTGTAAAAAAGTTATTACGCCTAATAGTTTATGTAGTATCCTTGTCAATTGCCTAAAAAATAAGTATGCTGTGTTTGTCTATAAGTTTCATACGTGGTAGAGCCATGCTGCAGTTTTTTACGGTCTCAGCATGAATGGGTTGTTGTCTCAGTTGGGGAAGGACATCACTCACAGAAGACCTCTTTTTATTGGAAACAAGGCATTCCATGTTAATTCTCAGAGTGACGACACATCTGAATTTAGATTGTTAATTGAAGATAGATGTATTGTTTAAGTCTATGAGCCCCAGTACCCACTTACTATCAAGTAAGCTTGTTTATCACCCTATTCTATAAAAAAAATTAGTGGTTGTATATTTTAAGCCAATTATAGATATGGCTATCATAAATAAAATCTTCTGTTGATGAACATGACTATTAATAAAATAAAAAATGCCTTATTAGTTTTTTTGTACAGCACTTAAAGTAAGTTTGATCTAGTCATGGTTCATGGCAATGGCCTCCTGTTGTTTCTGAGGGTTATGGAGCATTTAGTAGATGAAGGTATTTATTATAATAAGTTGTAGCGACCCTATGAGCAGTATGTGGTACAAAAATAAAACACACTGCACTTTGAATTGCGTTGATCTGGCGCCGTTTTGGTGAACACTACACTATAAACATGCAGTGTCTTCATCTTAGCGCGAAAATTTTATAATTTTTAAGTAATATTCTGTTATAGTTCTATTGTGTTGAAAATATTTTATTGACAAAAAAAACTATAATAGTCAGGCTTGGGTAAAACATATTGATATATCAATATTTTCTCATAAATATATCGATATTTTGAATTGTGATACATCGATATTTATTTTAAAGTATCGAATTCGTATCAATTTCGATATATTTTAAAATGTTGTATTAATCGACAAAGAAATGAGTAACAAAGCCAGTCATGTGCTGTTGTCATTTTTTTTCATCATCCAACTGTCAATAATGAAATTTTGGGCCTTATCTATATCTTAGTACATCATGCAAAACATTACGATATATCGACATTTATCACGCGATATATATATATATTCTCAAAAAGTACACATTTCTGCATGTTGAAACTGCATGTGTGCTTATAATAATGTAACCTTTCGTCGTACCGCTACTTAGCCGTCGCTACATCAAGCCAGACATAAATAGCTGATAATAGTCATAATCTGGCATGTTCTCAGTCAATCAAATAGTTGTCAGCATTCACCATAGACAGTGCTATAATTACTTTAGACATATATTTAATAAATTAATAAATTGTTATACAAAAATAATTCATTCTGTAAATACTAGGAACAGACACAAGCTAGTAGTACCAGTTACTTGACTCCACCAAGTCAGTAATTCATTCTTGGGATGATGTATACACTTTTACAACAAAATAAAAAAACAACAAAGTTATTATAATATTGAGGAATTTATGGATGATAAAGCCCTGGGAATGAGGTGATCGCTACTAAGCTATTTCTAATTTGTTTTGTGTGGTTAATTGTGTAACATACATGATTGTAAGCCGTTATTTAAAAAAAGTCGTGTTAGTTTTCTTGCTGGTTCCTCCCAGGACAAAGGTTATTTTCTTCGAACCAGTGGTTATTAAACAAAAGAGTGACTTTCAATAAGTATTATTTATAATCTATATTGAATAAAAAAGTTTGTTTCCGTTTCAATGCATTCCAGCCTATATAAAGTCCATTGCTGAACATCGGCCTCCCACAAAGATTGTTTCATTAGGGGGATATTTGCTGTAGTTGCAACACTTTAATTTGTTAAGTTATGACTTACATATTTTGAAACTGACATATCATCTCATGGGTATCGTAAGAGGCGACAAAAGCAAACAAATCCGAAATCGTGCAGCAGTCTTCATAATATCTAAATAATAAAAACTGGTTGCCATACCACCTTCAACCATGGCAATTGGCAATTGTGGACCATCTACAAGTTGTATTGGTGACGATAAACAATAAAACAACATAGAGGTCTGTTTGAGTCAAATACAAACCTTGACACGTAGCTTCTGCTTCTTGGCTCCGTTGATCAGGTCAGCACAAACCTTCTCCAAGGAGCGTACATTACGGGACGTCAGTGTGATACGGATACGGTGGATAGGCGAGATCTCAGCCTGAGGTTTCTCGATGTCCTTGCCTGACACGACGGCGGCTGCCTGGAATCGTCAATGATTTCAAGTTACAACATTTAACCGGAGTTATCATCTTCAATGTTACTAATAATATGGGTATTGCTTAATATTTATTTTTATTAATAAATAATATAGAAGGAACTTCGGCACAATTATTGTTTAGACCCAAACTCTAGAAACGTTCTGCCATGGATAATTCAGAGGCACGTGGCAACATAACCTATAATAAATATAGAGGAAAAATAAAAATAATTAATTGAAATAATTCAATTAGGCTGGTAAAATAAGACTTTTACTTACCATTTTGATGTGGTTACCCGGTCGAGATAAACAATTTCACGAAAAAAAATTGCTCAGCGCTGAACCGGTGAACAGCTTGACTTCTCACGTCATAGAGAAAGAAAAGAAACATTGACAAACAATTACAAAAGGATTTTAAATTCTATGCTCTATGATGCATGGGGCATAGAGAAGTAGGTAGCATGGACCATAGACATAGTATCCTGTACCTACTGGTACCTACGGCATGGACGTACTTGGTAGGTAGAGAAGAGAGTTTTTCTTCCACCTAAATGAGGTGTAATAATATTACAGATTTGAAAAATGCATAGCTTAGAGGTCAATTTGTTCCAGAAATGTAAACGTTAATGTTTCTTTCTGTACTATTCGTTATAATTTATATTAATTAGATTAAAACTAAACAAACTAAATCACAGACATTAATAAAGGTAGGAAATTAAAAAGAGTTAAAAATTAAAGAGCAAACCAGTCAGGCATTGTTTTGGGGATTAATAAAATACTCTAGGAACTGATAAACTCTTATTTAAAACTTACTTCTCAATTAAATGACATTGTGTAATAAAAAACTTCACCTCAGTGTTAACTAGCGACATCTGGTGAACGGAAGGCTATTAGCTCTTATTAATGCCGGCAAATGTATTGTGTTCACACACGATTTGTGTTGTGTTCAAACAACACAATATGTTGATGCATCACAATGAGAAATCCTTAGGAGATTTCATAGCAGCTTAATCCAACAGACACTAAATAATGATATTATATCACCAGATGGAAGTTAGCGTAGAACATTCTTTTTTTTAACTAAACTGTATGCCAATTAATTGCTCCATAAATGCTCCAGCAGAATCCGAAATTGCTCCACCTCTATTGTTATTAGTTAATTTATAATTAATTAAAAAAAATTAAGTATCAAAAATTTAATTTTGCTATGAAGTATAAAATATCTACTTTTTTAAATTAAACTGCATGCCAATTAAGTGCTCCTTAAATGCTCCAGCAGAATCCGAAATTGCTCCACCTCTATTGTAATTAGTTAATTTATAATTAATTAAAAAAAATTTAAGTATCGAAAATTTAATTTTGCTATAAAACATAAAATATCAATATTTAAAAATTAAACTGTATGCCAATTGATTGGCCCTTAAATGCTCCAGCAGAATCCGAAATTGCTTTAGCTCTATTCCTATTAATTAATTTATAAATAATTTTTAAAACATTTAAGTATCGAAAATTTAATTTTGCTATAAAACATAAAATACTTACTTTTTAAAATTAAACTGTGTGCCAATTAATTGGTCCTTAAATGCTCCAGCAGAATTCAAAATTGCGCCACCTCTATTGCTATTAGTTAATTTATAACTAATTTTAAAAGAAAATGATTGTCGAAAATTTAATTTTGCTATAAAACATAAAATATGTACTTTATAAAATTAAACTGTATTACAATTAATTGCTCCTTAAATGCTCCAGTAGAATCCATAATTTTTCTGTCTATTGCTATTAGCTAATTTATAATTAATTTTCAGATAGAGTGATTCTATTTGAGTAATAGCGCCATCATCAATAGAATGTAGTAACATTCTATAGTTAAAGTCATTTTATTGAACAAAAATTGATTGACTCTCAAGGTGGTACGTAGAAAAGACTAGATGGCACAAACACAAAAATATTATTAACATAGTTGTCTAATCCATTCAGAAGAATCCATAATTTCAAAACTCACCCATCAATACTTTTTTTTGGTTTTATGCCATTAGGCATCTATTCTACGTACCACCTTGGAGTCAATTTTTGTTCGATAAAATTACTCCAATAGGATCACTCTATCTCAAAATTAATTATAAATTAACTAATAGCAAAAGACAGAAAAATTACGGATTCTACTGGAGCATTTAAGGAGCAATTAATTAGCATGCAATTTAATTTAAAAAATAATGTTCTACGCTAAGTTCCTTCTGGTTAATATTTTTAAAATTAACTAACAGCAATAGAGGTATAGCAATTTCGGATTCAGCTGGAGCATTTAAAGAGCAAATAATATGCATACAGTTTAATTTTAAAAACTATATATTTTCTGTGTTATAGCAAAATTAAATTTTCGATACTTAATTTTTTTTTAATTATTTATAAATTAACTAATAGCAATAGAGGTGGAGCAAATTCGGATTCTGCTGGAGCATTTAAGGGGCAAATAATTGGCATACAGTTTAATTTAAAAAAGTAGATATTTTATACTTTATAGCAAAAGTAAATTTTTGATACTTAATTTTTTTTAAATTAATTATAAATTAACTAATAACAATAGAGGTGGAGCAATTTCGGATTCTGCTGGAGCATTTATGCAGCAATTAATTGGCATATAGTTTAGTTAAAAAAAAGAATGTTCTACGCTAACTTCCATCTGGTTATTATATCAATGGAGGCCCAATTCCCCCCCCCCCCCCCCATCAACATGGTAGCGGAATTACGTCATAAACTACCCCAGGAGGGTACCAGTACCCCTGGAGAATCCCTCGCTGAGCATCCACGACCATGCTATTCCACTCCTGAGCGTGGGTGCTCAGGCTGCCCCGCGTATTCTGGGGGGGGGGCAAAATTCCGCTCAACACAATAACTACTCGGGGCAAACTGAGCAACAAGACCAAGGCGACCCCTGCCACGCTATCCGTGAATTTCTGCAACATCAGGGGACTTCACTCGAACCTAAACGCCGTCCACTACCATCTTGAGACGGCGAAGCCCGCCTTGCTCTTTCTGACCGAGACGCAGGTGTCCTCTCCGGCTGATATTTCGTATCTCTCCTACCCGGGGTACAAATTGGAGCACTCCTTTGTGCCTCGGGCTGGAGTTTGCGTGTATGTCAGAGAGGACATCTGTTCTCGACGCCTCGGCAGTCTTGAAGGTTCGGACCTGTCCATCCTTTGGCTACGCGTAGACAGCGACGACCATCCGCGCGTCTACGTGTGCCTCTATAGGTCCCATAGCGGTAATGCCGAAACAGACCGACTCATCCACCACGTCCAAATGGCTACAGATTCCTTGCTACAACAGGTCCCATCCGCAGAGATCGTGATCCTTGGCGATTTTAACGCCCACCACGCCGAATGGCTCGGTTCACGTTTAACCGATCATGCGGGGAGATCTGTTTATGACTTTGCCTTGGCATATGGTCTGACACAACTGGTTACATCGCCTACGCGGATTCCAGATGTTGAGGATCATACACCTTCCCTGTTGGACCTTCTGCTGACCTCTCATCCGGACGGATATCAGGTTTCCGTCGATGCCCCTCTTGGCTCTTCGGACCATTGTCTGATCCGGAGTGTGGTGCCACTCACGCTCCGCTCGCGGTTGCGTTCTGCAGGTTGCCGCCGTGTTTGGCATTACAGGTCGGCGGATTGGGACGGAATGCGGTCTTTCTTTGCTTCCTACCCATGGGGGCGGGTTTGCTTCTCGCCGGACGATCCCAGCGCTGTTGCTGACTCTGTCACTGATGTGGTGCTACAGGGAATGGAACTATTTATTCCATCATCTGTGGTACCCATCGGAGGCAGATCTCAGCCTTGGTTTGGTCGCTCCTGTAAGACTGCATTACGCAGTAAGCAGGAGTGTTATCAAGCCTGGGCTGCTGCTTCGGTGACTCGGGATGTAAACACCAGCACGCTCAAAAAGAAGTATAACTTCGCCTCCAGGTCCTTCAAAAGAGTTATTGCCAAGGCAAAGTCAGAGCACATAGGCAGAATTGGCGAGAAACTAGTACACCTTCCTTCGGGAACCCGTGCATTCTGGTCTCTCGCCAAGGCTGTCCAAGGGAATTTCTGTAAGCCATCACTACCATCTCTGCACAGGGAGGACGACTCACTGGCCCACGACGCAAAAGAGAAGGCCGACCTTTTAGGCTCCCTTTTTGCGTCCAACTCGACTCTTGATGACGGGGGGAACACACCGCCGACCATCCCGCGGTGTGAGTGCTCCATGCCGGGTGTGCGGTTCTCACAGCGCTCGGTTCGCAGAGCCCTCCTCTCCCTTGACATCCACAAGTCGAGTGGGCCTGACGGAATCCCCCCAATTGTGCTGAGGACGTGTGCTCCGGAGTTGGCACCGGTTCTAACGCGTCTTTTCCGGTACTCCTACTCCCGATCCCTAAAAAAGGCGACCGCTCAGACCCGTCCAACTACAGGCCTATCGCCATCACCCCCTTGTTCTCCAAAATAATGGAATCCGTTGTAAACTGCCACCTCATGCGGTACCTTGAGGATCACCAGCTGATTAGTGACCGCCAGTACGGTTTTCGTCGGGGTCGATCAGCTGGTGATCTTCTGGTCTACTTAACTCATAGATGGGCGTTGGCAGTAGAGTCCAAGGGGGAGGCATTGGCCGTTAGTTTGGACATTGCAAAGGCCTTCGATCGGGTTTGGCACAAAGCGCTTCTTTCGAAGCTCCCTTCCTATGGGCTTCCCGAGAAATTATGCAATTGGATCACCAGCTTTCTTGCAGATCAGAGCATCAAGGTCGTTGTAGACGGTGTATGCTCCGACTACAAGCCTATTAACGCTGGTGTTCCACAAGGCTGCGTGCTATCACCAACGCTGTTTCTTCTGCATATCAATGATATGTTGCAAGCCGGTAGCATTCATTGCTATGCGGATGACAGCACTGGTGATGCTCTCTACACCGGCCGTGCCAATATTTCTCGGGAAAACGTCACCGAGTACCGGAACAAACTTGTGTCTGAAGTCGAGTCTTTGCTGGACAAAGTCTCGGATTGGGGGCGACTAAATCTAGTCCAGTTTAATCCTCAGAAGACACAAGTTTGCGCGTTTACCGCTAAAAAGAACCCCTTTGTCGTATCTCCTCAGTTTCAAGGTACTCCCCTTGTTGCCTCAGCCAGTATTGGAATCCTTGGCGTCGATATATCGAGTAGCGTGCAGTTTCGTGGTCACTTGGAAGAAAAGGCCAAATTGGCCTCTAAAAAGCTTGGCGTGCTCAGCAGAGCGGGACAG